AATTATACTTCTAAGAGGAGCCCATTGCGATAATTCCTCAGTAACAGGCAGCTGCAAATAGGGGAGCAGTAGAGGCATAGACACCCTGGCAGATTTCGGGGACCCAGCACAGTACTCTAACCATACATAAAATTCCAAAATTATATAATCAGCAGGGGGACCAAAGTGACATTTTCTTAGGGGCCCAGAATATCTAGCTAGAGCCCTGGGTGCAGCTGGTTATGCATCAGTGATGGCATCCTTGGGCCAGGGGGGGATTCCAAAAAGAAGCCAAATGAAAGGATGGTCCAGTAGAAATGTTACATTCCTCTCCCCCTACTGGACGGTTTCCACATTTGACTTAAGTTATCCGTCTTAGTGAGAAATCCCGCTTTGTGGAATATCCCCCCTGTCACAGAAGGGCGAGGCATCAACCTCCTCCCCTTTCTGAATTCCCTTTGCCTTTTCTTTCAGTTTGCTGTCCCAGATGAAGAAAATCTCACATGTATGAGAAAAGGATGAGTTTTATTTTTGCATGAATGCAAGTCCAAATTTCCAAAAGCAGTGTTCTCTTTGTGACACAACTATAGAGAATCTAATTTGCAGGTCAATTATATTTTGAGTACAAAAGAACTTCTTTTATGTAATAAAAATCACTAAAATTTTGTAACGCAAAATAAATCAGTCAAATAAATGTGAGTCTTTAATAATCAATTTGCCCCTGCTGTCACTATTCTAGCACCATTTGTCTCAGCTTGGCACCAGTATAAATGGCCCCAACAACACTGACAAGGTTAATAGCCAAATCATACGCAAGAAATGGGGTGATTTAGATGCCATAACAGTCTAGGCTGACCTCTGGATCTTGTGACGATGCACAAGCCACTCCGAGTGGGGTCTCCCCACGGATGCTGGTGTGGTTCACATCCGCCCCGCTTTGTAGGTAGAGCTTGGCGTGATGAAGTAGAGCAGAGCGAGAGGCCACATGCAGAGCAGTCTCATCATCCTCCTCACTGGGCAGATCAGCCGCAGCACCATGCTCAAGTAACACCATAGCACAGCTGCTGTGGCAAAAAACAAGGAATGATACCATTAGGAGCCAAAGAATGGGAGTGGGAGGGTAAAGTGAGCCTTTTATTGCACGTGGGCTGTTTAATCTTAGCTGTCTTCCTCATATACATTTAGCAGGCTTTCAATCTTTGCTGAAATATACTACAATAAAAAAATACTGAAAAATGAAAAATTGCTAATACACATTGCTGGTTTCTGGAGGACGAAGCTGCTCTGCCGACAGCCTATATCCATGACGCACAATAATTTTTAAAATGCTTATTATTTGCTGCTTATACTCTGAATTTTAACATGGTAGGCCATTAAACAATGATCAATTTACTAATTTATCCATGGAAACATAAACGTAAAAGGAAAATGTATGAATGTGATTGCTGGTAGCTCCTTAAAGTTGATGCATTTTCAACAGGCTTATGCTGGTCTCTGTGGTCAGCGGGGTAATGGTTGTTATTGCGGGGTATGAATGCATTGATAATCCTTGAATTGATGCATCTGCATTGACCGTGGTGTATGATCATGTGTGCATGACCTGTGATGGACCCCAGGCTCACTGTGTGCAGGTATCCAGCAGCTTTTCCATCCTACCGGCTGAGTTACTATCTGCCTGAGATTAGGTCTGGTTCATCAGAGACCAGGTAGGATGGACAAGCTGCTGGAGGCTGGCACTCCAGTATCAGGGCTGCAAACCCCTTCTGTACAAGATGTGCAGTTTTGAAAATCGATGGATGATTGCTCAATAGCTGAAGCAACCAGCCTTATTTCTTAAGGTCTTTTTTTCCATAACACCTTTGTTACAGCTTTTTTTCTGGCAATTTGCACTTCTGAACGTGTAATAAATTCTTGAGTGGTTCACTGGCACTAACTGGGGAAGTGCTGCATGACAAGCACTGACCGCAGTGACTTTGGCGTCTTGCAAAGGTGCAGTGCTGAGAGTCCTTCTTCAGTGCGAAGGTGAGGGTCAGCACCTCCTTTCAGGAGAAACTCTGTGCATTCGCTGCTGCTGTTCTCACAGGCATCATGCAGAGCACTCTTGCCCCCCACAATGAGGTTGGGTCGTGCCCCCCACAATGAGGTTGGGTCGTGCCCCATGTTCAAGGAGATACTGCAGGCAGTGCGTGAAGCCATAGGCTGCTGCAATTCGCAGTGGGGTGGTCAGCTCCTGCTTGTATTGCAGCGGATGCAGTCCTGTAACAGGTTTTCGCAGTTTTCTCAGTGACACGTGCAGGGAGCTTCTGTAATGGGGACCCAGGCGTATAAACCAGGCGGGTCCAAGCAGGAATAAAAACACCAGAAATGGAAACACAAAAAATCATGGGGCCCTTTCATCAAATATCACAATCAGATTGGCTGGTTGCCTTACCCTGGTCATTGCAATCCTAATACCAATCAGAAATATCTGCTTCTCTTTTGATGCTCTACTCTGACAGCTGAGAAAACCTATTCTGTTATGTTTCATATAATTCATGACTTTAAAAAAGCAATCATGCGTTTTGGAAAATATTTTGGATACCTGGAATGTCTCATTGTTAATGAGTTTAATTAATGGACAAAAAAATGAAAATACGATAGTTTAAGGGTGTTTAAGAATGAGATGGGAAAAATAGGCCATTTTAAGTGTATTATTATTTTTCTTTGAGTCAGTCTGGTGAAAAACAATAATTAGGATTTCATAGACTGTAAAAAAACTAATTGAAATAAAAATGGATGTTTGTAGGCTTACCTAGCAGGACGGCAGGTGGAAGATGAACAGAAGGGTCTTTCATCCAGTCATCGTTGGAGAGCTCGATGATGGCATTGGGGTCTTCCCCCACCAGCTCTCTCAGAAGTTCTTCTATCGTTTCCTGGTCATCTGTCAGAAATGCACTGTTCAGATTCTTTACAAACTCAGAACTTGCAGTTAAATTGGGATCAATATCAGCATTCATTTTGAGGAGAACCAGTGTACAGCAAAATATATGCAGATTATATTTTTGTTACGATTATAAAATGTTGCTTTTCTTTATAAAAACTTTGCATAAAAGACACTTCACTTCAAGTCTGGCAGTTTGTCGTCTACCATGTGTTTAGCTAATGATAGAAAATCGTGACTTAAGGCCATATCACGTTACTAAGTGCTATTTATGTCTGGTTCTTTCCCTGGTGAAAGAGTCAGGTGCCAAACCATGAGAGGGCAGACGCACACCAACAGGCGTCTGTGGGGGAAACCGGAGGAAACCCCATGACACCTGGAGAACATGCAAAGTCCACACACAGAGAACAGGACAGAGACTCGAACCCTGGCCCCAGAAGTATGAGGGAACAGTACGAATCACTGTGCCATGTTGCCACCTGTGAATAGTTCCTTACTATATTCCTGTCTGTTTCTGTAATATTTTAAAAAAATTACAGCATCATATCACTCTGTTCACATCATATCACTGTGGCAATTTAGAAATAATTACAATTATTATTTACAGAGAGGGTCAGTACATTACTGTACATAACCAGAGCAGGGGCGGATCTAGGATTTTTGGAAAGGGGGGGCGCAGCCACTAGAGCGAGTGCCGTAGGCGCGAATGANGGAGGAGGGGGTGAGCTGAAGTGCTGCTAAGATGTTTCGCCGAGGTTGTAAGGGACCCAATACATTGGGTGGCTCTTCCCGATGTTATCAAAATACTGCACTTGTGGTTTAGTATTGTGTTTAGTATTGTGTTTAGTATTGTGTTTAGTATTGTGTCTGAGAATGAGGAACATACTGTAGGGAATAATTAGAGGAAGTGAAGCGCGGTGCTGCTTCTCAAAAGGCCGACAAACTGAAGACAGACAGGGAAGCCAGACGGACTCAGAGAAGATGCAGCTCGCTGTCTTTGTTGTGCTTTTCTTTTTAAGTATGATAATATTTGCATGTGCATATAATATAATATAATATAATATAATATAATATAATATAATATAATATAATATAAACCAGTAACTTAATGTTAATGTGTTTTTGCAGATACTCATTTTGGAAGGGGACAGCAAAAAATCAACCGTTCTGGACAACTGTTATTCCAGTTAATTTTCCATCCCTTTTATAACAATTATGAAAAGTCTTGTTGTAAATTAAATCACCAGCAATGTCAAATGGTTGTGAACAACAGAGGATATGTTGATACATCTTATAAAGGAAGAGTATCAACCCTAGAGTTCAATGGAGGATTTGAAATAAGGATTTGGAATTTATATCCGTTAGATACAGGAATTTACAGGTGCATGGTACACGGGACATCAGCTTACATTTACCAAGACTTTTCCGTTGAAGTGTCAGGTAAGACCATTTTAATGGTCTTTATTTATAGTCTATGTGTGGTCATTTTTGTTATATTGGGGTTATTTATTTCCCTGCACTTGGAATTGGGAAAGTCTCTGTCTATAATATTGTAATTGATTGAAGAAATTAATTAAAGGTGATTATTCTTGCTGTGTGAAGGTGTTTTGAATACCATGGTATTCAGAAAAGTTCACATCAATTTTGAGAGAGAAGTGATTTTTGTGGAATGCTTGGATGACAAACATGAGTGACAAATATTCGAGTAATGAGGAACAGTGTTTATGGTGGTGTTGACTTAAAAATTTTATGGAAATGCATCTTAAAATAGGGACAACTGTGACTGAAAGCAATTACCCTGTGACAGTCATGTTTCTGCACTGCTTCAAGATAAAAGGCAACACAAACTCTTCTGAATCAGTTGCCTGCAAATATCTAAGGCTTGCTCATGCGATTTTATTAGGTACAGTCCATTACTGAAACTGAATGGAGTATCAGAGTGGTACAAAGAACATGCACAGCATGGGCCGTGAAAAAAGTCAGATGAATCATCTGTCAGCTTGTTCCCAAAAAGCAGATGAATACATGTGCACATGGGCCAGACATCTAACAGCCTGCGTGTTTAATTCCTCTATTGAAACAATGTGGAAACTGTGTGAACGGTGAGGGGGTGAGTTTTACAAGCATAGGATTGGCCTTCTCAGCTTTTGAGGGCCCCGTAGATACATGCCACTCATACCAATTGACACTGATAGAGGATACGTAGAATGTGCCAGAAGTGGTGTTTCTCACAACTCGCAGCAAAGTATGAAATATATATATCTGTGTGTGCATGTTGTTTTTGTAATGGTCCAGGTACACAGCAGAGTCCGTCTGAGTCTACAACTACCCACAGAACCAGCTCAGACACTTCTATGACTATTATACAGCATCAAGCATCTACCAGCTCAAGGTGCATGAACTACTAACATTTCAGGAGGACCCCAGAATACAAGCATAAAAAGGAAAAATATACATTCGTGATTAATTTATATTTTATTGACTAATAAAGTACAAGCAGACTGTAAACCCTATAAACTAGCAATTTATTTATGTAAATTAGATTTCCATTTTTTTTTCTTTTTAACATACTTAAAAAATTCACAAATAAGTTTTTCACTTTGTCATTGTGTGATTGTCTTTCTGAAGGCACAGACATAAAGTATTAGTGATTACAAATGACTAATGAAAATGTCTTGCTTTTCAGATCCCTGAAAAGCATGTGGATAACACTGACCATTGTAATGACTGTTTTAATGCTGCTTGTCATCTTAATAACCTCTATGGCTTATCACAGGGCAAACAGTAAGTACCCCGGATTTAATCCAGATGACTCAGTTTATTAAGAATTCTGTTACTGCTGTGTTATCAAATTTATAGAATCATACACTATGAGGAATATGGGCTAAGTCCTCAAAAACAGTCATTTGAAATAACTATAAAAATTCATCCTTTCAAACTCACATCTAATGTTTTTTCTATAGTTAGTCCCCATAATGACACATATGCCTGGTCTCACCAACCATAGTAAAATGCTAATGCTGAATCTTTTGTCATTGAACAAGTGGGATCAGATGATTCACAGCGCGGGAAACTTTGGAAACTATTTATTGTTAAAATTTTTCTGTGCACTGTTGCCTTTATTGATGATAGTTTTCTTCTTGCCTCTTATGCCGTTCAATGACAACATATTATGCACAGAAGACTAAATTATTATTATTATTTTTTAATTAGCAAAATTATGAGGACCAATGGTAATGCATGACATCTGGTTTTAATTCAATTAGTAATATATTAATCTAGGCTTGAATTTTTGGCTTTAAAGTTGTTTGTGATGCTACTGTACATAAAAATGCAGTATAAAGGAATCTAACTTGCCTTTAGTATGTAACAGAATGAGTGAGTGTGTATGGAAATGGCCTTTGATGTACTGGCATTTGGTTTAACATGCATATTCTCCAATGTAAAGCGTCTTAGGAGACACCTGTTATGGAACAGAAATAATTCATTAAACAGAAGCAGTAGTTATAAACACAATTACGTCAAACTGTCAGCTAAGCTTGTTGAGTAATCATAAATGTGATATGTAGATATCAAAACAAATATGTTTATGCATGCTTTTCTATTTTTAGATGAACGTGGAACTGAGGCATGTGATAATCGCCCTCATATCCTCCAAGTAAGACTGTTTAGATTTGATGTCTTTTTTTGGATTGTTTCTTGTTTCCATGGTACTGTACAAAACTTGAATTCAGCAATGTCTCAGTACATAAAGTATTAATAGAAAAATTAAGCAAGACAGGAAACATGTGAACTCTTTATTAAGATAGCCAATCTGTATAAAGGTCTTTTAACAATATTTTATTTAATGCAGGAATCCACCATCGAAGATCTGAACACAATTGTCTACACGACCGTTGACTTCAAGCCCCCTGAGGATCATTCCGTAATCTACGTCAACTCACAGATTCCTCCACCATCAAAGGACAATTATGAGAGTGATAATTACTATATTTCCAGGGAAATGGTGCAATACTCCAACCTAGTTGTGCAGATGTAATATAATAAACTTTGACGTTCTCATTCCATAGTATTTTATTTTTTTATTTGTGATCTAGAAGCTGATTAAGACCGATTCCAGTTGTCTCCACTAATGACTTCAGTATTTGCATGGATAGTCACTTTCAGTCAAACCACACAGAACAAAGCTGTCATTCTGCTAATAGAATTTTGGTTCCTGTCACACACCATTTTGCCTGGAACGGACCTTAGGAGGGAGCAACGATCACTCGGCTGGGGAGGTTTAATTATAAACAATACAAGTGAAAACAGGAACTCAATGGACCTTGAGGGGTCAAACAAGAGGTGAGGAGGAATTAAACGGAGGCACATATATACACAGATCATGATTAACAAACCAGAGAGGTGATTGACACATTAAGCAGGGAACAATTATGTGATTACAAGATGGCCAGCGACCTCTGCTGGCAAAACCAGGACATGACAGGTTGACAAGATGGGTCCTGACACCTTTCTCCATTCACTCCACAGTTTTTAGTTGCAGGCATTAATGCTCAAAAACCATCTATTAATATTTCTTTATAATTTGCTTTAATCCAAAGTTCTCTATTGCATTGGATTTTGTCTTCAAACAAACAACTGAGCATGTGCAATTAGCTGGCAAATAATCATTTTTTATGAAGGATTTAAGAAAAATGCAAATTTGTATATCCTGGCAGAAGATGAACAATATAATGTCATCTTTATTTAATCATTAGCCATCGATTGTTTGTGTTTTTGTTTGTATGAACTCCACTTGGAGATTACATGCTTTTAGTACACATATTATGTCTTATCTTTAAAGATACTTGCATATTTTTAAACTAAACATTTGATTGCATTGCATTTTGTAATGAGTAGGACATGGGCAGCCTTCAGGCATTTTAAATGGTAACTCACAGCTTAATGAAATGGTGTTTTAATTTCTGTGTTTGGCTTTACACATTTAATATTAATACTGCATATATTTGTAATTTTGTATTTTGTGAAGATCTCTACATGAAAAATGAAATTGATTATTAGTGCATTTTATGGAACTGGACATATTGTTTTTGTATATTTTGTTTAGATTTGATGGTTTTTAATGAAAAATAAAGAGGGCGATGAATGTGTCATAAGTCATCGTTTCCTGGGTCAGCTCTGTAGTTGCAAGCTTGCTGGACTACAGACAGCAGTCGCAATGGAAAGTACTGTATCCTTTTCTCTCCTTACAGTGAAGCAGTAGCTCTGTACCAAGTCTCTTCCAGTGAGATGAATCCATCACTCCATCATGGAGAGCTGGTGCCACCTGCACCAATGGCCAGTAACATGGAGCAAGGGGGTGATCGATGTTGCGAAGGTAGGTGGCCATGGTCCAGGAGTGGCTGAACCCACAGTCAGTCAGTGAGCTGAGAAGCTTCCTGGGAAAGTTCCCCAAGAAGGGCCTCTGATGTTCCCCTGTCTGACGGTTTACTTACAGTATATTGCTGCTCCCCTTCATCAACTGATTGCCAAAAGGTGCTCCTGTTGTAATACTGTGTGGCATTCTGGGTCCTGAAGCCTGAGCCATAGTCAATAAACAGCAATCTTACATAGTTCCCCTTATTGCTGTCGAGGTGGGTGAGGGTGGTACATAGGACAGGTGAGATGGCAGCATCAGTGGACCTGTTTTGATGCTAGACAAACTGGGGGTGGGTTGATGGTGAGAAGGATGGAGAATCACATGGAGTCTTTGAGTTGCCAGTCAAAACCCATCATGACTATGATGTCAGTGACACTAATCATTCAGGCAAGAAGGCTTGTTCTTCTTAGGAACAGAGACAATGGTAGATCTTTCAAAGCATGTGGGACGATAGAATGAGGCAAAGATGGTAATCACATGCTCACTGACAGGACTGCAGTGTGAGCCAATGGGCTGATACTCACACAACTAACCTTGAAATAAAATAAGTAATTTGTTAAAAAATTAGAAGGTTCCTTTATACAGTTATTAAATGCTATTCTACATCAGGGGTGGGTAACCTGATTCATGGAGGGCCGGTGTGGGTGAGGGTTTTTGGGATGACCTTTCAATCAGCCAATAACAGTGGGTCCCCTGCACTGGAGTTGAGAACCACTGCTTTATTATTGGCTGACTGAGAGGCCGACCCAAAAACACTCACCCATATCGGCTTTCCAGGGATCCGACCCAAAAACACTCACCCATATCGGCTTTCCAGGGATCCGACCCAAAAACACTCACCCATATCGGCTCTCCAGGGATCAGGTTCCATACCCCTGTTCTATACAGAAAAAATGGCACTGAAATCTCAGGAAATGGATTTAAATTGGTATGCAGGTAGTTTCATTTTCCACATTTTATTCTCCTTTCCCTGGAATCAAGAACAGCATTTGTTCAGGGTTTTAATCAGAAAGATCAGTGTTCTAAGTGCATGTTCATGCTTTCTCAATTCAGAAAAATACTGTCACAAAAAGACTTGCCAAATTCTGCATGATGCGCAACATTATCATGTCATTAGCATAGATGACTGTAAAATTGTTATTTTTTCATGCCAAAACATTATTGAATAAATTATCTGAAGAAGAGCACTGTAAGTGAGAGACAAAGAATCTTTTTGTTGTTGTGTATTTTGCAATTAGGTTTATTGCTTAACTTTTGCTTTCAACACTATTAAAAGTCACCATTTTTGAAATCATTGGTACATCTGTATTTACTCTCTGTATGTCTGCCACACAGCAAATGGGGTAGACAAGGACACGTATGGTGTTGCCTTTTTCCAATGAAAGGCACCTGCAAAAATAAGATAAGAAAAACTGGTCAAAACTCTGCCATGTTTTGGTATTATCATTATTGTCTTTTTTTCCTAATCAAAGTTTAACATTGAAGAGCCTCTTTAAAAACCCACACAATCCAGTTGTAACATTGAACTAAAACCTTTAACTATTAAGTTATTAAAAAATCTAGTGCAAGCTTGACCATCACGAATAACGTCTTGTCTGTTGGCTCTGTGATATATGGAAGGTGACTGATTCTGTCACTCAGGATGGTCTTCAGAGTAAGGATTGTGATTTTATTCTGGCTTCTGCTCTGCCAGGATCCCCACCTTGTGACTGAAGGGGTGGCACTCGTCACCCAGCACGCCCCGGGGTGTGCACATGCGCAGCCCACGCAGCCACAGGCTGACTGCGCAGCATGTGCCCGGGCCACACTGCACATCCCTCTCACATGCCTGGGGGGGGGGGGGGCGAGAAGGGGATGGGACAGATAAGCAGCCGTATCACCATTACAGCACGAACTGTAGCCATAAATATGCACTGTTTTTTATACTGCTGTTTATTTTTAAATTAAGAGTCTTGGTCAAATTAAGAGTCTTGGTCAAATTAAGAGTCTTGGTCAAATAAAGTCTCAGTTTAAATCACTTTGAAGCAAACTGCAGTATCATAGTCAGATTCTTTTACACTTGACATCACTATCACTAATCTGCAGGACAGTATGGGTCTTATAATTGAAAATGAAATTGATACAGTCAATGAGTTTAGTGATTTAAATTTGCACAGGTACTCACTGTAGAGAACATGAGTAACATACCGACTCTTATTACTAATCCAGTGTCGCCTATGACACTTTGAAAACACATGGTAGCGCAAGCTCAAACCTTTAAATCAGAGCTAGATAACGTTTTAACAACTGAGCTCTCCCCAGACAAGCTTTTGTTTGTAAATTTCTTCTTATGTTCTTAAAAGCATACATGTGTAGAACAGGGCTTCCCTACATTCCGTCCGCAACACAAAGATACAATTTTTATGAATGTCATGAGTTTGCAATGTTTCGTAAAGCACAAAAATGTTGTGCTGTTGTTTTGCCTGCTGGTTCAGAACAGTTGCAGATAAGTCGCCATACACTGATGTACAGTACATACAAAAACGCAACATGAACACAGAAAACATGTAAACTTCAAAGGCATACAGATACTGTAGCATGATTTTGGTGAAACATGGGTATGAAAAGTAAATGTCGCGGGTTGTTATGTATCCAGACCAAAGACAAAATGACAACATGCCGCAGAACGAACGTGAATGGAGAATGAATCCCCCCCCCCAACCCCAGTCAGCAAGTTCACCATTTTCACCGCAGCCAGGTTGACGTGTGCTCACAAAGCCACCCTATCGAATAAAACCATATCTGGTGAATAAACGTATGAACGCTGAATGTAACACTCTGTCAGTGGTTATATGTGAAATTATGGTCATGTGAAGATTAATTAAAAATAAATAAATAAAAATGTTTTAAAATAAATTATGGTTATGTGTTATTGTGCATGTGAAACTGAATTGAGAACTAAGAAACACAAAGGAACAATAGGAATATTTTGTCATACAGCAGGAATTATATACAGTAGAGTTTGAATATGTTAAATGTGTTGCTCTTTCCAAGCCTCGTAATCTCTTATCACCGAATGACTCTGTCACTCTGTCACTCTCACAGAGCATCACCGCCAGAGCTCCTGGATCTTCAGATTCAAAATCAGCAGCAAAAATTTTCAATGCAGCTATATGCACCATATATCTGGTGTATGTGAGGGTGTCTGCAGTGTTGCAGGGGTATTTATACTTTATATATTATGACAGTGGTCATACCACATACAGAATTCTTTGGCTGTACTGATTATATATATATATATATTTATATATACACAACCCGCCCCCAAACACACACACACAATACTGTGCAAAAGTATTAGGCAATCAAAAATATGATGCTTACATGATTAAATGGTCTTCATGTTGGTGTAAAACCATGATATGTTTGTCAAAGTGTGTCAGCTTAGCCATTTCAAATCCTCTACTAAAGTCACCCCAGGATTTTCAGTAACCATCCAATACACTCATGTGTTTGCTGCCTCGACTCCTAGCACACCTCATATGGCTAATTAACATCTCATAGGTGTTATTTAACTAATTAAGTTAATTAAGTGAGCTGGTGGTTAAATTTAACAAATGCGTGTGATGGCTGAGGTGCCCCTGAGGAGAGGTTTGGACACCAAAGCATTTTTCTATCCATCTAACAAGATATCAGTAAATTTTTGGATAACAGAAGAAATTCTTGTTCATTTTTATTGTTACTGTTAATTTGCATGAATCCTTCTTTGTTAAATTGCTTTTCTGAGAAAATGTACATTTACTACTGTGATAGGTAGCTTCAAACCCTAACTGCACAGAACTGGGCATGTACACACACTTCAGTAACGTTATTGCAGTATCAGTAAGACTCACCCCAGTGATGACAGCCGCCCTGGAGCAGCTGAGGAGAACCAGGCTGATACACAGCAGCAGGAACTTGCTAATGCTCATTGTAAGCTGGCTTTGGAAGGCTGGCTGTCCCACACGTCTCCTGCTCTCTCTGATCATCAGGGATCTTCTGCCTTGTCAGTGAGGCATGCTGACGCTCTCTTTATCGACCCCCTCCCCACTGAATTCACACTAACCCCCACCTTTTGGCTCTTTGGCATTTCTTATGAACTACTGCTGCCGTCCACTGCGGCTGTTTAATCCCTCTGCACTGTAACTTTGTATCTGTTATTTTCCTTATTTGGAGGTTCTTTTCGCATTCTGGTAATTCAAAGAATTGCCATAGAATACGTCTACATAAAAATAATATTAAAAAATATAAAAAAGGTTTTATATGGAACTGAAAGTCTGTATTTTTATGTAACTGACTGGATTGAATTATTTGAAAGATTTTTCCAGTAAGATTTTACAGTAAGTTCCAGAATTATTGGCACTCCTGACTGAAAGTTCACTAAAATAATATAAAAATTAATTATACTATTATAGAGATAATCTCCAAATGCCAAGATTAACCAACCAAAATTATTTATTCATTTAATTATGATTCTCAGTTTCCTTCAAATAATGTTTTCACAATTAATGACACCCCTAAAGACTATATATAGGTCAAACCGGAGAATGTGACTGACCTCGAAAAGATCTGTAGCGAGAAAATTCCCCAAATGTCAATTACAGTCAATTTCAAGTTTTGTCACATACAGTAACACACCTAATTACTGTGTAGTTAAATGCTTTTCCGTCTGCTTTCTGGATTGTGCTTGAAGGAAGGGTGCATTACAAAGGAAAATAAAACCCAGGATGCCCTTTGCTGCCAAGCTCATTATCTTCCATTGGTATCAGACACACTCCATTACAGTGGATCAAATCTTATCTCTCTGGCCACACTCAGTTCATTCAGCTCAAATCTTTCACATCTCAGCCTCCCACTGTCACTTCAGGTGTGCCCCAGGGCTCTGTCCTGGGGCCCCTCCTCTTTATTATCTACCTGCTTCCCCTTGGCAATATCTTTCGCAAGTACAATATCAATTTCCACTGTTATACAGATGACACCCAGCTCTACTTCAGTAGCAAACCCAACTCCATTTTATCTTCCTCCCTCACTGATTGTTTTGCAGAAGTTCTGGTTCTCTTTAAACTTTCTCAAATTAAATAAAGACAAAACTGAGGTTGTTCTAGTTGGAACTAAATCATAAAGCACTATCCAATACTGACAGTTTTTCTCTTGTTATTCATAACTCATCTGTTTTCCCCTCACCACAGGTTAAGAGTCTGGGTGTCACCCGGTCTTCATATTTCCACCTACATAATATTAATCGTCTACATCCCTCCCTCTCCTCTCTGGTCTATCTAAGAAATTCCATCATAAGCTTCAATTGGTTCAAAATTCAGCTGCCTGTATTATCACCTGAACCCCCTCCAGCCACCACATCACTCCCGTTTTGCCGCAGCTCCACTGGCTGCCAGTTACGTTCCGTATTGACTTTAAGATCTTGCTGTTAACAGTCAAGGCCACCCACAACCTGTTGAGTGTCTAGAAAGGCGTCTATAAATAACATTTATTATTATTATTATTATTATTATTATTATTATTATTGAAATAGTATAAAGGTACGAATAAAATATTAACAAAATTAAATAATAAGATAATCAAGATAAAATGACTACAAAACAAAAGAATAAAAATAGAAAGCGTTAGATGTGCAATGACAGTAGAGTATGATCAAAGTGCAGGAAGTGACATAAAGTGTAATGTTCATGTTCAGGATACAAATGGCTCAGGGGCCCTTGGATTCATCCTACCCCCCCCCCCCCTTTATTAGATTAGATTAGATTAGTTGTAGTTGTTATTTATTATTACTTGCACTTTTTCCCACAACCCACTATCCATATATTTACATACTGTGTATGGGTGTACATAGGCACTACTGCTGTATTTAGTGTTGATCTTATTGTATTTTTTATTATTTATTTTTCTTTTTTTCTTGTATTCTTATTCTGTCTAGAGCTGTGGTAACGCACAAATTTCCCCACTGTGGGATCAATAAAGTCCTATCTAATCTAATCTAATCTAATTTCATTAGAACTTCATCATGTCTATAAATAAGGGTATATTATCGACCTTATTAAACAACTCATTAAACAACTCCGTTTTTTATGGCAGTTTACTCAGTGTAGATGCACATAAATTCAGATTGTAGAAGGATAGAGGACAAATAGAGAATATGGACTTAAATATTCCAGTATATTTTCTTTTTCAATAAGCATTGATATGATTGATATATACAGTGGTACCTCGGCTCACAAACTTAATTCGTTCGAGGACTGAGTTCCCGACCCAAAAAGTTTGCGACCTGAATCAATTTTTCCCATTTAAAATAATGTAAATACAAGTAATTCGTTCAAACCAATTTTTTTTATGTTTTTCTGTGACCAGGAATATAGACTTAAATGAAAATTGCCTTAATTATACACAAATAATGCTAAATTAAATAAAACAGTACAACTGAGCATAGGCTTGTTGACGGGCTGGTCGCTCGAAAGACACCAAAATACGGAAAAGAACCACAAAACATCCCCCCCAAAAAACTAAAGAATTAACATTAAAAGACTGAGTAACAGTCAAAAACAGTACAGTAAATTCGGAAATGTGATTTTTTTTTTCCATATTATTTTCATATGCCTAAAATTTTTATGTATATTTTGTGACGCCACGCATTGTGTGGTGATGAACTTCTTTGTTTGTACTGTAAACAAACAATACGTAGTTGCCACTATGTGTGAATGGAGAATATAAAACTTAAATAGGAGTTACTTAATAATTTATGTTATTAATGAAGTACTGTAATTTTATGTGACTGTTAAAAACCATCACAAACATGTTTATCAATCACTGAAAGGTACCACTATAACTATTTTTTTCTTTTCTCAGAAAAAAATATTCGACCTCTGAAGAGATATAGTAAAGACATACATCTACAACAAGTTTTTTATACATTCCACAACCATTCTTGGGCATAATGTACACTTCTTCGTGTTTCGGGTGGTTCTTTGGGGTGTTTTCAATGGACCCTTTTCGGGGATGTTTGTGAGTTCGAAGGCTGAAACATGGTTTGCGAATTGGCACAAATTTTTTTCGAATATCTGGTTCGTAACCCCATTTGTTCATGAACAGGATTGTTCGTGGGTCAAGGTACCACTTTGTGTGTGTGTGTGTGTGTATATATATATATATATACACTATATATATACACTATATATATATATATATATATATATATATATGTATATATATATATATATATATATATATACAGACGCTCCTCTACTTACGAACGAGTTACATTCATACCTTGAAATGTCCATAAGTCGTTATTCAACATCATTTTACAGGTATACGCAAGTACAAAGAACTAGGATGCTAGGAGTACACATGCTACGTTGTGGGAGTAGCAGCCAGAAGTCGTACTCGGTGTTTTTGGTGCGAAGAAAAATAATTTGATGCTATGGACAGGAAACGGGAGCCCAAGGAACACAATTTGGACTTACTGTCCTCTTCATTCGTATGTCTGAAAGTTCGTAAGTTGAAAGTTCGTAAGTAGAGAAGTGTCTGTATATACAATATATATACTGTATATATTTCTTCCTGGGTTCTTACTGATCATATTTAGATTTAGCATCCTCAGTAATGCATAAGTAATGTATTCATTTTCACAGCCGAGGTGTATTCTGGACATCAGTTGTCCTTTTTTTAATGGTGGCTGGGTGATTCCAGAGAAATGGGGTTATGGGAGTGAGTCACTAGGACATTATGTGACTGGCTTACGGCTGACGGATTACACTGTCAGCCTAACCACATCATTACCTTGCACATTCCTGCTACATCAGCAGATATGGGGCCTCTTCATCTCTCTGAATGGGCAGAGCGTAATGCATCAGGTCAGAATGCTGGACCACACTACACTGAACCAGAGAGTTTGCTCTGCAAAGCATAGATTCTTTTCAGAACGGGAAAGTTTGCATTTAAAAATGGTTATCTACTGTATAAGAACCCTACAAATATATCTTCTCAGCAAGCCATTTCATTTCAATATCTCAGTTATTTTGCATGCAACGTTACAATAGCAACTGTATCCCCCCAGAAAACCTTTCAGTGTGTTTATGATTAACCAGCCTGGTTAATGTTTATTTGTATTCAGATTCACGCAGTTCGCGAGTAACCCCCTTTAGGTGGCTGTCTGGGATAGGGTGACCACCAGCATGACTCAACTGTGTCCAAAAAGGAGGACCAAGAGTCAAATGGGACACCCATTAAAAGCTGTTGAGTGGTGGGAGGGGTGTGTATATATTAGGCACATATTATAGAAGCTGAGAATTATCTTGTTATTTCAATAATGCCATAAAATAATAATTGCAACCACGGCTATTCTTGGCATCCGTAGTGTATATGCAGGAATTTCACGCGAGTAGGGGGGAGGGGAAAAGGGCGGCACCCAACAGCAGGTTGTCCGGACAAAATCTGGATGAGTGGTCACACTAACCTGGAGCCAAAATTCTCTACTTGTTATCCCATATGACAGCCATTGTGTTAACTTGTTTCCAAGGAGGACAGGAAACACGGACTGATCTTTTTCCAGGGTGGTCTGGAAACAAAAAAAGCCACCGTGCTTTAACTCAAATCCTAAGAAAGACCAAGCAATAGAGGGTTTATTAAACTCTGTGACTCCCTTTTGAGGGCAGTCGGTTTCTGAGACTGAAACCCCCCAAGTGCCTCTGGTCCTAAGACACCTACAGTAAGTCAGCTGTCGTGAATGTAATTCAATGCTGTGTGACAGAAAATCTCTGTGGTGGATACAATGAAGCTCTGAGCTGTTCAGGGTCAGAACTTTCTTTAGGGGAGTTTCGGCTGATGAAACACTTATCATAAAGTTAAATCACTGTCACGGAGGGAATTAGCAAGTGGAGAAGTCAGGCTTCCTCAATATAGCTTGATACATGTTCACATAGAATGGGGTTCTAACACTCTTCACTGTATTTCACTCAAGAACAGCTGACACAGGCATTGAATGGGAGATAATAAATGTTATGGGACATTTAATGACAAT